TTTGTGTGGGCTGGTAACTGAGGAGGGGCTACAGGGTTTCTGGGATGGGTCTAAGAGTTGGGTAGTGGCTGCCTGTGGGAGGCATATGGGAAGTGAAGAGGAAGTCTGAGGAAGGCGTCCCGGGGCAGTGTGAGGAGTGTTGGGGGAGTGTCTTGGGGGCATCTCAGGTCATTATGGGGGGCCATGGGGGTGGGGATATCTGGGGGGTGAAGAGGAAGTCTGAGGAAGGGGTCCTGGGGCAGTCTGAGGAGAGTCAGGGCATAGTTGGGGGCGGGGCTCAGGGCACTGTGGGGTGGGGGACGTCTGAGTGACCCGCCCCAGAGGTCACGCCCTTCGAGGGGGCAGAAGGCGTGGCCGGGGGCACGCCCAGGCGGGCTCTCACCATCCCCTCGGGTGGGCTCATGGGGGGGGCCCTCCGGACTCTCCTCACCGGCCCCGCCCGGCCGTTACTGGCGGCCCCGCCCCGTCCCGCCCGGTCCCGCCCGGCCCGGCCCGGCCCTGCCCTACCCCACCCGCTCGACTCCGCCAAAGTCGCGCCGCCCCGCCCCTCGAGCAGGCGTCTCCGTCGCTGCTCCCATGCGCAGGCGCACCGGAAACCGCTCGCTGCTCCCGGCCCCGCCCCTTACGCACGCGCACCCACTCTCAGCCAGTCGTCTCAAGCCGAGAGCCCCGCCCACATCTGCTCCTGGCCAATGACCAAGCCGCCTAACCTCTGCCCATGCGCGCCAGCAGCCCTTCGCTCGCGGCCGGGAGGCTAATGATCTGTTCAGAGTCTTAAGCCGTGCTGGTGTTGGCTGGTGACCTTGCACCAGCTGCCTTGCGTGTCATGGCGTCACCTCCATGATGTCATGGTCCTTTTTGAGAATGAAGGACAAACAGCACCCGTCTCCTACAAGCGGTGGGCTTCCCTGGTTTCCTCCGCTGCCAGATGAGGGGCCGGCTTTAGTCCGGGGCCAGAGTGGTATTGGGTTGGACTCCTGGCCAGACACTCCTGTGCTGTGTGACCCTGGGTAGGTCCTGTCACCTCATCTGTAAGACGGGGAGATGGTGCAGCTGAATGGTGAAGTGGGAAGAGCGCTGGGCCTGGAGTCAGGAAGACCTGAGTTCAAATCCAGCTTCAGACACTTACTGGCGATGTGACCTTGGGCAAGTCACTTCACCCTGTTTGCCTCAGTTTCCTGATCTGTAAAATGAGCTGGAGAAGGAAATGGCAAACCACCCCAATAGCTTTTCCAAGAAAAGCCCAGATGAGTCAGACATGACTAACCAACAAACTGGGGAGATGGTAACCCCAGCCTCTTGGGAGGTGCATCCAAGGTGCCCCGGCCGAGAGCTGGCCGGGAAGGGCAGCCGCTGTTATTCCGTCTTGCTGCCTCTTCCCAGGCCCACGAAGGCCCCCTCTCTCCTTCTGTCCTGCCTAAACAAGTCACCATCGCAGGGAAGGAGAAAGCCCTCCCCGAAAAGATCCCGGGGCTCGTTCTCATCCTTGCAATCCTGCAGTCAGCCTCTGACGCTGGGATTTTGTGACCTCCTACCTGACTGACTGTCCCTTGCTGGAACCTTATCTTGGGTGCCCCCAGGAATATGTCCTGGGCTCCCTCCTCTCTCTACTTCACTTGGAGACCTCTTCAGCTTGGATGGCATTGATCATCTTTGCAGACCTGCTCCCATGCACCTTCTGCGTTAGGATGGTTCAGTTTTGTCTTTGGTACACAATGGTGCTTAATAAATGCATGGGCTCAGGGCTGAGGTCCCCCTGTTCCTTCCCCTCAATGTCTCTCCAAGCTGCTGCAGCAGCTTTCTGAGTCCCAGTTTCTCTGAACTGGGCCCTCCTGGGTCCTTCCCTTATGACCCCAGAGTTTTGCACACTTCTAAGCATTTCTGCATCCCCTCATTACCACCTACCTTCTCTCCCTGCTGCCATTGTATCTTGCCCCAGGTTTCCAAAATGCACTTTCCTCCCTCCCTCCTTCTATGTTCCTCCACCAATCTTAAACCATACAACTGGCTTTTCTGGGACTTAAGGGAGAAAAAAAGACTCCAGCCTCAGAAAATACTGTGCCAGGGAAGGTAATCAGAACCGTCCATCAAAGCTCACTCCCCAGTCCCAGACTGGGCAGCCCCCCAACTTCACCTAGTCCTTCCCTCAAGTTTCCCTGGCCCAGAACTCCTCCGGGCCTCTTCCTGCCTCTCTGTGGCCACAGGGCAACAGTCTCCTGCTCCAGGGTGTCCCACTTGGGTCCTCATCCCACACAGACTTGTAAACCCTCCGTTAATGCGAGGCTTTGGGCACTCTGCCTATACCTAAGCAGCACAGAAAGATCTGCCTGTCTTCCAAGAGAAGATGGGGGAAAGAATGAGAACAGAGTGTCCTTTGCCTCCAAGGTTCTTTTATTCATGGGACCCACAGGACAGCTGAGGCCTGGACTCTTTCTTTTTTTTAATCATTTAATATTTTATTTCCCCCATTACACGTAAAAACAATTTTTAACATTTTTTTAAAATTTGGGTTCCATATTTTCTTTCTCCCTTCCTCCCCTCCCTCCTCATTGAGAAGGCAATTTGATATAGGTTCTACATGTGTAGACACGAGCACATCGTTTTTCTATATCAGCCCGGACCCTTTCTGAATCCAAAAGCAGTCTCAAAGGTCCTATCTATGGGCCCAGGCCAGGGGATGGATGGCCACGGGCCACAGGCCACGGGCACAGCACAAATACAAGGAGGCAGACAGGGGAGTGCTCTGTAATGTGAGTTTTTATTGAACGTGTAACCATGGGCACCCTAGCACACACTCGGTCCTGGGGACCAATCCAGGGATGGGCCATGAGCCCCCTCAGTCTCCTCATGTAAGCCTCATCATCCCCACCCCACTCTGTACCATGGGGGCTGACCCCCCAAGGTGCTCAGCTCACACACAATACAGAAACCAAAGTCTGTTACCTAATGGTTAGGACAGAATTCCACAAAGAGCCTTATTTTTATTAACATCTACTGAAAAAAATACAAATTCTGTTCCCACCCCCACCACCCCAGCCTCCTGTGCCTTATTGTCAGGGGACAGTGCCTGGCCAGGTGGATGTAGGGGCCTTCTCTCCAAGGCGTGCTCAGGGGCTCCAGCTGCCCACCTATTGCTGGCAGCTGGCCACAGGCCCCTCCCTTCCTGCCACTGGGGAAAAGAGCAAAGGGAAGGGCAGCTGGCCGCCTTCTCCAGTCTCAGCTCTCTACTTAGGGGGAGGAGTCTCAAAAAGAGCAGCGATGTCCACAAGGGCTCGGCGGATATGATTCCCAAAGCGCTGGGCGTTCTGTAGGGGCAGAGCTCCCTGTCACTGCAAGGCAGCCCCCAGGCTCGCCTAGCGCCCACAGCCATTCCCTAACCCCCACGTGCACTGCCCGTTCCTGCTCTAGGCATGGCACGTCTGAGCCCCCACACTCCTCAGGGCCCATGGGGCCCCTAGTACCCATTCCCTAATGCCCACCCCCCACCTGTCACATGCCAGGCTTGGCACTGAACTCACTGTTTCCGAACTTGAGAATTTGCTGGAGATGTGGAAGAAGATGGTGTTTTCACCAGCAATCATGTAAGAAACCCCGTACCCATCATCAGCTACCTGGATGACACCAAGGGGGATGGAGGTGAGAAACCTGTGGGCTGAAAATTGGGCTGGCCCCTGCCTGGCCTCACCTCAGGAGACCAGCGAGGTCAGTATCTGGCCACATTCCACATCTGCAGGATCAGCCCCAGCTTCCAGCCCAACTCCGCTGCCATGTGAGGCGCCCCCCCGCCCCCGCCTCAGAAGCCAGGGTCCTCAAGCTGTCCCCACTAGCAGAGATGCCCCAATCAACACTCCCACATCCTGCTTCCAAGGAGAGAGCTAGCTAATCCGACATCAACAGAAGAGAACCGGTCCTCCCGCCCGATGCCGCACATTTTAAGAGGAGCCTTCTGCAGGCAGTGCCCCTGCGTTTCATGTCTAAGCCCAAAGACTGATGGACAGTGAATGTTTCAGGCTAGGAAAGGGGAGAGGATGGCACGTTGGCAGGACAGCTCCTAGAGACCGCCATTTCGGAACAGTAAGGGGCCTGCATCCTTCCGGGAGTGGCTGCCTGCCGCTGAGCACAGACCCCCTCCCTCAGTCCCTGGTGGGTCACTCACTGGGCCAAAGCCCCCTCCGGCGGCCAGGTGGTTGGGATACTTGTCTGGGTCAAACATGCGGATTTGGAACTGGGCCGTCTGGCTGGTGGAGAGTCGCCAGGGTTCTGAGAGGACCTGAGGCAGAGGGAAGGGGAGGGTGAAGATGGACAGCATGGGAGGGGAGAAGCTGAAAGCTCCAAAGCACCTCCCCTGCAGAGCTTCCCAGAGATTACTCACCTGGGCCAGGAAGGGGGAGGAGAGGCCCAGGTACTTGGAGACTATATACAGGCAGAAGAGGTGCCGGTCAATGCCAGCTCCGGTCATGGCCAGGCGGTACATGTTTTGGTGCTTTTCGGCGGCTTTGCGGAAGAGATCTTGGAGGTCTGCCTTCTGCAGGGGGTGGGGCACGGGAGCGAGGGGCCAGTTAGACCTCCAGGGAGGCCCTGACCCCTTGCTCCCCGCCCAGGCGGCCACTCACCATGTACGCGGGGTCCATCATGGCTCGGACAAAGGCCATGGCCTCAGCGGTGCAGGATCGCACGGTTTCTGTCCTGCCGTCCCGGAACATCCGTGTCATTGAGGCCTCATAGGTCAGGCAGAACTTGCCTTTGTCCTAGAGCGAGGGGAGGTGTTGGATTGCCCTCCTCCAGGCAGTGGCCAGCAGCCCCTCCCTTGACAGATCCACCCAACGCAGCTGCCCAGGGCTAGGGAGGGCTCTTACCCGGAAGTGGGCCAGCTGCAGGGCGATCTGCACGAAGGCATCCGGGCTAGAGCGGCACCTCTTAATGAGGCCCTTGCCAAAAGGCAGGAACTGGAAGCAGTACAACTCCACGTCGTCGGCAAGGGCCTTGGCCACCTGGTAGGAGCTCTCGATGATCTTCTGGCACTGTGTGGCAAACCGAGGCAAGAACTGAGCCCCCCGTCAGCCCACACCCGTCATGAGGTCCCAGCGCCACAGAAGCCCAGGGCAGAGAGGGAAGGGGGGGGGGCGTCTGGCCCCCACCCGCCGCGTCCTCATGGAGACGAAGTGAGAAGAGGCAAGTGGTGGCCGGGGCTCACCTGGGTGGCCCCGTCCTGGCCAGAGAGCCCGGATTCCCTGAGGGGGGCGATAGAGCACAGGTCTGGGGAGCCCTCCCCCGCCCCTCCCCCCGCTTCCCATTTACCTCCTCAGGGATTTCCCACTGCAGCCTCTGAGGCGGGGCCAGGCTATGGTTAGGCTTGCCTTGGCAATGGCCAGAGTCAGTGTAGTCCAGGTGGAAGGCATCTGTGGCTAACACAAACTGCACAAGGGGGTGGTCTGAGGAGTACAGCCGAAA